TTATCTGTTTTTTGTGCTTCCCTATGTAACACCCCAACCCGTACCCGACCCGGATACGAGTCCGAGGTGTCACATTAACTTTTCAAACTTTGACTCTTGACAAAATTCAAAGAAAATTTAAAACTTTCCTTAGAGTAAAAGCAGTTTAGTTACATAATTTGACCACAATAACCAAAATCGATCAGAGCATATTTAACTCAATCAATTAGTACATGCCAATTATATTCAAAATAACAAAAATCATTTAACTCATCTATTTTCTGATCTGAAATCTTGTAAGGGAGATGCTGACCTGTATTGCTCCTCACAGCTTCCATATTCACTTTCTGTACCATGCGTGTGAAACACTCACACGCTAAGTTGATGACTTAGTGAGGCATAAAGAAAACACATCTAATGGAATTCATACCCACTAATCATGCATGACTGTTTTATGCTATCAAATTATACAACTTATTTACATATACATCAACATATATTCATGTATATTACGTAACAGATACCATAACCCCTATCACACATATATCATATCATGCACACATCATATCACACACCATATACATATATCACATACATTGTTCTCATATCACCAACCTGTTTATCCTTACTAATTCCCTTGTCATTACTTCAATTCCGTCATATGAACATATAATGAATATAAACATATTATATATATTTTAATAAACCACAATACATTACTAATTTCTATAATCATATAATATATAAACACATAGCATCCCATATCACCATGACATATATGCACTTCTACCATGTCACGAGAAATACACATATCATTATATCAAATTATGTTCTCTTTTCAAAGCCATGTACACATGTGAAAACTATAGATATGTGAGTCTATAGAGGTTGTGCACTATGCTGTCACCACAGCTCGTATAATTGCACCGAAGTGCCACGTAGAATTGCACCGGAATGCCGCGTAGAATTGCACCGTAGTGCCATATAATAATGTCCATAAGGACCACATATCATTCCTTAAGAATCATATACATATACTAGGGATCAAGTATGTGTCTCACCAGACTTCACACATGTTCCAAAGAATGCATATATGTCCCGAAGGACCACATATCATTCCTTAAGAATCATATACATATGCCAAGGATCAAGTATGTGTCTCACCAGACTTCACACATGTTCCAAAGAATACATATATGTCCCGAAGGACCACATATCATTCCTTAAGAATCATATACATATGCCAAGGATCAAGTATGTGTCTCACCAGACTTCACACATGTTCTAAAGAATACATATATGTCCCGAAGGACCACATATCATTCCTTAAGAATCATATACATATGCCAAGGATCAAGTATGTGTCTCACCAGACTTCACACATGTTCCAAAGAATACATATATGTCCCGAAGGACCACATAGACCCTCGACTCTTGGCATGTCAACTATACCGTAGCTCTCAAGACACATAACATGGGCATTTTCTTTTATACTTATCATTTCACATAACACATAGTTCAATTACTCATAGAACATTTTCATATGAGTCACATTTACATGTCACATAGCTTATATACTTTCTTACGTAGTTACATAGATCCATATCATACAACATATATCCCAAAATGCACATAATCACATATATCATATCATATAGCGTAGATCATTTCTCAGATATTCATATAAACATACATATCATATCTTGTTCACAAATGATCATATATGCTTCATATAACACATAGAAACACCTATAACACTTTCTCATAGCTTATATCAATTTTCAGAGTCCTTTCATATTACATGATGACATATATCATATAGATATATAATAACGGATATCATATTATCTACCTTATGCTCCATTTCTTTGTATTCCCTTAGATTATAAATTATGTCGTATTTCTAAACATATATCATTTAATAGTATTTTAATTTAGGTACTAATTTAATCTCTTTACTTAATTCAATTTCATATATTCATTATAATCTTTTCATATAGCTCCATTATACTAATTCTCATAATAAATCATACCACTATGTACTTGTCCAAGTCATGTTTCCATTATGCATATACTGTTACCCATGTTTACCTAGTTCATATCACTTCTCATAAACTCACTTTCATCATATTTTCCTATTATTACATATTTTATCTCATAACCATGTATTCGGATAGTCTTATATTTCATTATCATATTACTTATATTTGTTCTCTTATGACTCTTAATAAACATCTATTTCTATTTCCCTACATTTCTCGACTTATCTTCTATATTCCTATAATTTCATAACTTATTTTATATTCTCTTAATAACACTTAATCGTGTTTTTACATAAACCACATGGCACATACAAAATATATCAATTCAGATAATCAAACATACATACACTCATATTCAACTCATGCCTTTAATCATGAATCCATATGTAACACTTCAGGAAATAAACTCATCGCAAGTCTTATTCCCATCACACCATATACTATTGAATATGCACTCACCTTGGCCTCACTAGTCAATTCCAATCTCTTATCTTTCTCTTGATCGATCTTACTTGCCAAATGTTCCGGAATTGCTTTACGCGCAGAATCTACATAAATGTACATTTTGAGGCAATCATTAGATACCTACATCTTGTAATCGGATACTAGCAACTTAAACGAACTTATTAAACCCATATTCATAATTTTCCTTTAGGGGGAATCGGTTCCCTCCTATGGGGGTATCGGTTCCCCCTTAACATTTTGTAAATTCTGGTTCGCTTGAGGGGGTATCGGTTCCCCTTGAATGGGTACCGATTCCCCTTGCCCAGAAATCACATTTTTGAACTCGAAAATCCCTTCATTTTCAGCTCCATACCTCATACTTCACTTCCATTAATATTCCTAACTTTCATACACATAATTAAACTCGTTTCTACTCCATAATCACTTCCTTAAACTCAAAATCCTATCTTTTACATGATATTCAAGAATCATACTCAAATACCAACATGTTCTAACTTTAATTCTATCACCTTATACTTCTTAATTAGCTTGATAACAAGTCAAATCCAACTTCTAATTCTTATTATGACCTCTAATCCAATATTTCATTCAATGGCTTCTAACCTTTAATCTCCCTTAACTTACAATTCTTTGAGTTTCTACAACTCTTTTCCTTTTATAATCTTTCTTAAGGCTTCCATAATTAAAACCATGCTTGAATTTGAAGGATTAATCAAGAGAAATTAAACTCACCTTAGCTTGGGCTCTTCTCGTTGAAGAAGAAAGAAGAATCAAGAGTTATCTGGAAACTCTTGTTTCTTTCACTTGGATATTATAATACCCATTATCAATTATTTAATTATTACCTTTGCTCAATGACCCTTTTACCCTTTTAGTTCTCGTTCACTTAATAATTCATCCTACCCAACATCTTTAATTAATTCCTTCACTTTTCGATTACTTTAATTTGATCACTGACATTTTAAAATCTTACACTTTAATCACTAACCCGGTATGGAGGATGTTACACCCTATGTATTCCATCTGACATTATGTTTTTTGTTTTAGTAGTGAAATTTTTAGGATAAAAACTTACATTCTTGAGATGCTGGCAGCCGGGCAACCTGCCAAGGCCGGCAAATACATGAACAATTATTTATTTTTGGCAGACTTGAATACCCAAAAATAGGTTTTTAAACCAGTTAACTTTCTTGATAAGTTACAATGATTGTTTGATGGCAGGTTGCCACTTTTATAGTTCAGAAGATTCTACTGGATGATGTTGGCTTGGACTATATTTGCACTACTGCAGAGCGGTTTTTTGCAGTTGGTCGAGTTCTAGGAAATATGGTTGCAGCACTTGCTGAGCAACCCCCTTCACGACTGTTAAAACATATTATTCGATGTTATCTTCGATTATCAGATAACCCAAGGTTTGTTAATGAAGTTGATCATGGATTCGCTCATTAGTTTTTGGCTTTAGCTCATCCTCTTTCTTTACTTTTCCATAATTTCGTTTTGAGGTTTATGCATAAAATTGACGGTCTCTGGGCTTTCCTTCATAATATAGGGCTTGCGATGCGTTAAGAAGTTGCCTTCCAGATATGTTACGAGATGCCACCTTTAGTAGTTGCCTTCGTGTAAGTACTAATATTTCTATTTTTTGCTATTGGTTAGAATAAATGCACGATAATCAAGTTGTATTTTATCTTGTAGAATCCAGCTGCTAAGGGTTATATTTAGTTGATTCGATATGGGAACTCGTTTTATCTTGAAATCCTTTGTCAAAAAGATTGATTCCGATTCTTTTTACATATTCCTTGTTTGTCTCATCCACTTTGTTCATGCTTCTAGGAAGATCAAACCACTAGGAGGTGGCTGCAGCAGTTGCTTCACAATGTCGGGGTGAGTCGGGTACCATCACTTCAAACCGGTGCAGGATTCGATCACATGCTGGTTAACTGACAATCATACAATTTTTTCCCCATCATTCAAAGCTGGTTTTTCCGGCATGGCGTGGAAGCATCCTTTTTAATCCAACTATTATTATCTTTGGTATTTTGATTTAATCAGCATTTATTAGTGATATGCTGTTAGCCCGTAAAAAGGAAATGCAGTCGGAGACATAAGATGGGGTTGTAAGGTGGAGGGATCAGACCATTCTCATGTTGAACCTGAAATGTATACAGTTATTTAGCTATTTTTCGTGTATGATTGGTCAGGCTGTTCAACGTCATGCTCGTTAGCTCTTGCCTATTTCATCTTTTTCTTTCATTTGTGCAAAACATGGTTGAAGTATCATTTGGTTTTGTCTGCGTAGAAAGAACCAATTAAACCGTCAAACTTTTTCATATAAACATTTTACTTGATTGATACAAGATTCTGTTTGTTTGAAATTTTCTGATCCGACAAAAAATTAAATGTGGTCTATGGAATCAGCTTAATATCGAGTGGGATGAGATTGAAACCGAACTCTTGAGAACGAGAGAAATGGAACTTTGAAGAAGTTTGAATCTAGTGATTGACAACATAGGATACAACAGATTGACAGGATGAAAAAGAAGCATAAAACCAGACTGCAGCATGAAGTTTACTAAATAAGGAAGACGAAAATTACACATAATTGATAACAAAACCATGAATTTGTCACCAACACAAGGGGATGGTAAGCACATTGACTTGAGCTCATAACATACTGTCTGATCTTGCAGGCAACCTCCTAAAGAAGTTAAGGGGTGTAGATGGAAGTTTGTGGCGGAACCTCGGATGCCGTAAGACGTAAAGGCCCATGAGAAGAGCAATGACTTGGAATGGTGTGACGTAAAGAACCAAGGCCGCAATCAAACAGAATGTCACAAATAGAGTGGTTGCTCTAGGGTCTCTCCAGCTTAGTAGAGACTGGAATCTTTCCCCTTGAGTTGCGAGGTCACCGATCACAGTCTGAACTCTGCCTCCTATGCTTCTTATACGATCGTATCTCATTTGGACAATATCAGAAGGTCGAGAAGTGGGGAAGGTATCGAACTCTTCGTCCAATTCATCAGGATGGGCAGCATCAGCATGAGAGAGTCGAGTGTCCATGTGAGGAGGGTGCCGTGGCCTCCAACGGAAGTTCCAGATTCCAATTAGGAAAAGGTAGAGAAAAACTGTGGGAAGTATTAGCTCGGGATAAAGAACCAATATAATGAAAAGGATGTGAATTAAAATGGTTGTAAGAGGGTTTCTCCAGTTGCAGATTTGATCAAACCATTTTCCAACAGCAATCAACCCACTGAGAACTCCCATGATTCTGAAGAAGTTTGCTTTGCTTCTCCTCATGCTCCACATATGTGAATCGACATCGAGCATGTACTCCACAACTTCCTTCCTCAATGGTGGCTCAGCCCGGCTCAGCCTCATCGAGACAATCTGCATAGCCTGATGCCTCAAGACATCAAGCTGAATCACAGACAATGGATGAATGTAGTGCATCTTAGGCAATAGTGGATGTGAATACATATGCAGCATGTTAATCAAACTTGAGCAGGTGAACCTCAAAGCCAATTGAATTTCACCAGTCTTTTTAACCCCTGAAGGATGCAGCACCAGAAGAGGGTACGAGTGAGTATAGACCCTATCAGCTTCAAGTGTAGAAAGCCGAATCCGTACCTTCCCAATTCTCGAGTCCTTTGACCCTCCGGCTCCCCCATGTATATGATCATTGTCGAAAACACCCACTGTAATGACAGTACAAGTGTCAAAAACCTCCCAAGTGTACTGCTCATTCCACCTTGGCATAAAGTTGTCAACGATTGTCCTTGTCCGGACCCATTTCTGCCCATACTTAGCCACACAATAAGCATCTGTGGTTCCTCGTCCGTCTTTCGTCGTTTTCATTGGCATCAGTCCATGAGCACTTAGGATACCCAGTTCCAGGATTCCAATGCTTGGTCTCCATAACTGTTTTGCTGTCGGCCTAAGATCACTACTATAGTGTGTAGATTCATCCAAAACATGATACCCTCCTTCTAAACAGATCCTCAAGTGAATCCTACTTGCAAATTTTATCTCCTTTTTCTCTCCATCGACAATAATATGTTTCTCTAGATTGAGCCACCGACTGTTCACCGGTTTATGGTCTAACCTTCTCTGCACGATATGGAGAGGGATCATACACATACCCAATGTTTCGTCCTTGTTCAATCCAACCCTATCTTCTACACTTAGAACCAAAGGCTCCTCAAAAGGTTCAGCAGCTACAAACATTAAGTCCTCATTCCACATTGGGTTGATAGTCTTGCTTTGAGATACTCTAGTTCTCAAAGCCTGATTTCCAAGAACCGCTTTCACAAAAACCTCAGGGAACCTGCTTTTATCGGTAGGTACCAAGTCTTGAGCTTCAATCACATTCACCCTCACATACCAAAGCTTGGGGGAAAGATAGACTTTCGATCGGATGTTTGAAACGGCATCAGGGCCAACCGATGCAGCATCTGAATGCCATGAATCAGGAAATGCCTCATCTGCTTGAGTTCCCATCCAGACAGCAAGCATGAGCTCTCCCTTGGCTTTATTACCCTTTCGGTCTTCCAATCTATACCACTGCGGTGCCAATGGACTGTCCGGAGGAATCCTTTTCGGAATTTCATTGAGATCGAACAGAGCCCTGCCAATTAAATCATCTGCGACAACATCCTTGTCCTTCACATACACTTCCAAAACAGAAGCTTGAATCCTTTCTTTCGAGAAAGCAAACGCTTGATTCCATTCCGGATTGCTCTTCTTCTCGAAATGCTTAGTGATTCCCTTGTAGTTCCCAAGTTTAACTTCGACATACGGATCACAACTACCGGTAACATCTTTTCCAGGTAAATCCTTGGCCTTCACAACCCGAACATAAAGGTATTGCATTTGCTCGACGAGGTCATAGGTGCTCGAAAGCTTATCGCCTGGAACAGCTCCTGCACCGATGTTCGGCGAGGTCTCCTTCAAGGCGAAGTCTACAGCTTGTGGAGGCTTCTGCATCTTTGTTCTAAAGAACACTTTACAGTTAAGCAAGAGGTAACAAGGGACAAGTGTTATCAGAAACAAAAACTAAAGTGTCTGGTTTCTTTATTACCACAAAAGAAAAAGCTTTCAACTTGAAACACAAAAACCGGCTACAATCACTAGGCAGACACTAGTAAGAAAGCTTTAAACTTGAAACACAAAACACCTGCAAAATCCAGGAAGAACTATGAACATAACACATCAAACTTCCATCTGGATTCTGGGTAAAAAGAAAAAACAACATAGTACAACAGTAGCAAAAACAGTGGTCTTGTTTCTATGAGCTGTCGTTATAATTGTCAGTAAGGGAGCATTTAATGTATTTCAAATTAACAGCCAAACTGATGTGAATTTGAAGATTCCTTAAAGAAAAGGAAAGTGGGGGAAAAAAGAAGAAATTTCCCAGCTACCAAACAACAGCATTAAAACAGAAAACATTAATCAAAACGTACAAGACAATGAATGTGCGTTTCTTGTAAAAAAACAGAAACAGATCTAAAACAAGAAAACCCCATCAAACCAAACATTGGAAACAAGTAAGCCGAGTAAAGAGAAAACATGTATTATCTTTTACCATGCATTGTTGATATTATTACCATCTAAACTTAACAGTGTAAACCACGAAAACACAAGAGTTTCAAAGCTTAAACAACTACTCAAACCAACCCAGAAACACAATTCTTAACCAAAAACAAAGCGTTCGTATTTTTTGGTAAGAAAAGTATAGAAAAATGTTACCTTTTTTGTAAGAATGTTAACTAAAGAATCAAGCTTTCTTCAAGAATGGGAAAAGCAATTTTATTTTCATTTGAAAAGATATGAAGCAAATGAAGAACTTAAGACTGAAAAGGAAGTGGGGACATGTGGGTTGGGACACTGGAAGATCTGTTGACAAAAGGCTGAATCTCTGCTGGGTACCAAACCATTTTTCTTTTTAATATTTCTTTATTTTTATTTTAGCATGAATAATAATAATAATAATACTATTTACTTGTTAAAACTCAAATAATAAATAAGTAAAATAAAAATAAAAAAGGAGTCATACGTGGGAAGAGTGTGGTTGGTTGGGTCACATGCGTGGGGAAGAGTTGTTTTGTTTGTTTGTTCGTATGTGGGGCTGTCCTCTGACTCGATGTTGGGGTTGGCTTTGCTGCCCCTTTCATTTTCTCTTGGGCTACCAATTAACCCCCTTTTTCTTCTTCTTTCAAAATCTTGTTGATTTTCTCGTGGTATCTACGAGTTACAATGCATGGGCGTTACCTTCTATATCTATGACATTTGTGTCCCATTAACTCAGTTCATAGTTATTCTATTTAATATTTGTTTATACTATATCAATTGCTGATATCCATAGTTGAAAAGCTCAATTGGTTGAATCTGCTATCTGATTTTTTTAAGCCCGTAACTAATTTCCAAATAAAGAAATGTAAAGCTGAAATGACTTATTACTGTCATTTCATTTTTTTAATATGTGAAACTAGATTGAAAGGATAATATTATAATACATTTTTATAAGATTTAATTCGGATTAATTCATCACTAAGTCGAATGTAATACTAAGAAGTTGAGGCTGATGTACGTTCAAATTCAACACAAATATATGGTTTATGGTTTTGTTTGTAGTGAAATCAAATCAGATAAGATGAGGTGGCTAAATAGAAAACAATGGTGTAAATAATTAGAAATAAGTGTGTATGACAAAGTCCCTATAGAGAGAGTCTAAAGACAAAATATGGGACTATGGATATACAAAAAAAAGTTATCCTTACCGTGTGGTGACTGTCTTCTCTCGCCAAAGGTTGTGTATTTTGTTTTTAATGGAATTCTATGAGTATGAAAAGATAATGAGATTCCGTCCCATTTACTCCTTTTCAAGTAAAATTAAATTCTAATCAAGTGTTTATATCAGAGAATTTGTATATAATATAATAAAAATGTAAATGATAAAGGTTTCATTTTTATTTCATAAAGAGATTAAATCATTATATTTTATTAACTGATAATTTACCAAATAAAATAAATAAATAATATATATACACACAACAATTTTTTAACCTAGTTATGAACTCTACCTATGAGATAATAATCTAAATATATAATTTATATAAATAAATAAACTAAAGATTTGAGTTCGTTTAAAATTTGTTTACCAAAGTATAAACATAAACACATTACTTGGAGTAAAGGAAACAAGAAAAACCTATGAAAGGTTATTTGAAGTGTGTACAGTTGACTGATGTATTTAAAGAGGAGGAAGTGAGGCTGAGTTAGGCTTTTTTAGTTGCATAATAGTTTAAGAAAATCTTTTCAAACATGGCGGCGAAAGGGTATACGGTGGAGCCAATGGAGGCTCCTGACATCCACGGGCACGACATATTAGTCGCTCCGGCAAGAAACAAGGGACCATTTTGCGATGATTTGCTGATTGAAGTGCTTTGCCGATTGCCACTTAAGATTATGGTGAGATGCTGTTGTGTTTCCAAAGGATGGTATGAATTGATTTTTGGCTATTGCGTCCCCAAAGTAACACCCTTTTTGGGATGTGATATATCTGTCGAGACTTTTGCCAAGAAAATGATTCGTAGAGTGTTACTTCCTGACTCTAAGGTTGTGGCTCAGGCTATTTTTGCTTGGCCTACTTTTGTCCGCTATGAAGTCTTCCGAACATATTTGGGCAGCGGAGACTTTTTGCTCGACTCCTGCAATGGTTTGATGCTCTTCCAACACCCCTCAGAATATAAGTATGTTTTGTGGAATCCGAAAACCCAGCAACTTCTCGTTATCCCTTGTCCTCGGCGTAAACGCAGTTTTTTATCCCTTCTTGCAGTCGATGCCGGTGTTGTTAGAATCCTTAGCTTCCCCAAAGACGGTGTTGTGGATGTTTTGTGTTTACATTATTACTCATGGACTGAAGTACGGAAAGTTAAGTACAACCGCCCAGTTGATAATAACACTTTCAGTGTAGATACAACAGCTGTTTACTTGCATGGGAAGCTATTTCGATTAGGCCGACCTCGCCTCCTTTTGTGGTACACCATTAGCGATGATAATGATTATGTCATTTGCGATTACGTTAAACTCCCTGGTGGAGATGATAGAGAGAAGGAGAACAGAGGAGGGTGTATCGGTTCATGCATGGGACGACTTCAATATGCAGAGAAGGTCAATAGTTTAAAATCAATTGGGATGTGGATGTTTAATGCTGATACTAGTGAATGGATATTGAAGCACAGTGTTAGCCTCCAGGCATTGGCTAGACACCCTCGAATAGTGGGTTTGAGAGAAGAGTTTCCAACGGAGAATGAAGAATTTAGGGTTTTAAACTTCAATCCCGGCTCAGACGAAGGTGCTATCATCTGGACTCCACGTCTTATTTTCTACTATTATTACAAATCTGGCGATTTGATTTCGTTGCGATTCGAAGGTTATGATTGCCGTCTTGAAAGTCCGCCGCATGCTACGTTCCCCATCACTCCATCCGTGACCCCTTTGGCACTCCCAAGAATAACCAGAAGAACCTTTCCATTTAAACCTTAATTTTTCACCCTATTAACTTATATCATATCAGTAAATTGATCACGTTTTGCTTTTCAAATATTGCAGTAGCATTGCCTTTCAGCACCTCAAGGATACATCTTAATTTCAACTCCCTTTTAGTTATTTCTTCAGTTAGTTTAAGTTTATTTTAGTACAAGAGAAAGTTCAGTTTTATAATACAATTTGTCTTTTATACGTTATATATCAAATTATATTTAATTTATTAACTAATTAATCTAGATCAAATATAATATAATATTATTTTCATCAAATTAGTACATATATCTATTTTTTAACCTTGTGCATATATCTCTACTTAAAGGTTCTTATTTATTGATATATATATATATATATAATTATTAAATGTGTATTGATATTTTTATTAATTATTTTGTAATAATGTATTCAATATATCATATTATTCGTGTTAAAATAATATTACGTTCGTTATATATATTTTTATCATATTTATTAATCTAATAATATAACAAAAGTCAAATCTATAAGATGATAATGAGATGTCCCTGTGATTGCAAAAACTGGAACTTACTTAGATGATGATGTCGAACTAGTTTTTTTTTCCTAAGTAAATAGAATGTAATATATGTTCAATTGTAACTAGCAAAATAAATCTATAGTGGCGTTTTGAATGTAAACACCACTAACTTAATATATATCACGGCGTTTTAGGCACAACGCCACAAAATGATAACATTAACGACGTTTTTTTTCAAAAATGCCGCTACAGGCTCATACTTTAGTAGCTTTTTTTTACAATAGCCGCTATAGACCCATACTTTAGTGCCTTTTTAAACAAACGCCGCTACAGAACCATACTATAGTGGCGTTTTTAAACAAACGCCTTTAAATACTCATCCTTTAGTGGCCTTTTTAAACAATAGCCGCTATAGACCCATACTTTAGTGACTTTTTAAACAAACGCCGCTACAGAACCATACTTTAGTGGCATTTTAGACAAACGTCGTTAAATATGCATACTTTAGTGGTATTTTCTAAAACGCTGCAACATACCGCTATTTGTCTGTACATTAGTGGCGTTTTAGTAACAAATGCCACAAGTTTAGAATCTTAGTCCCCAAACCTTTATTCCTTTTTCATTTTTCTCCTTTACATGTTTTGAGGGCTTCGGTGCCGGTCTCTTCAAGAAGAATTTGCTTGTCAGAACTATTGTCTTGCTATCAATCTGTCATTTCGTGTGGAGTGAAGGTTGGAATATACTAATGAAGAGAAAATGGATACATGTGTTTACTGTTATGACTGTATTTTAATACTAGTAGATATTGTTGTCTTTGTGTGGCGTTGTAAATTGTTGATATAGTTCCTGTTGTAATTTCCAGATTGATTTTAACATTGGATTTTGATTTCTTAACTTTGTAGCAGATATCGTATTTCCAGTCTACTTCACTAACCGGAGCTTAATATCGATAATTTGAGAGTAATCTGTTTTCTATTCTGACTGACTTTTGTTTTTTTTGTTAACTCTGTTTTTTGGCATAGTTTATTGCTATTTTGATTGTTATAAATGCAAATTAGATCTCTTATAGTTAACTTGGAGTAGCTAACTAATTCCAGAGTGATAAGATTAGGATAAGTGTTGTATTTTGATTCAAAATTGACTTAAATTTTTACGATGCTTTCTTTTTCTTGTACTAATTTCAAGTTTTTTTATCAACCACCACAACCACTTAAGTGTACTGTTTCTGGTTTTAAAATGCTATGGAGAAACATCATAAAGCATAGCATCATGCTACAAAGATAAAGACAATATAAATTTTAGTATTAGAGTGCACGCTACCTAGCACCAAAACTAGCATATATAAATCTTCTATGTTGCAAGTTACAAAATTCTATTATTACATTTTTTTAATTAAAAACTAGCAGCCACTGTTTTTCTTGGTCATGTTTGAAAGAATATCATTCATGGAACACTAAAGCAAAAAAGGACAACATTTGAAATAATATCATTCTTGGTCATGTTTGAAATAATGTTTTAAATATATCGGCGTTTTCAAAACAACCGCTAAAAACTGATATATATAGTGTCACTATTTTAAAAGCTCGTATAGTGGCTTTTTTCGTCTGCACTTTTAGTGGCGTTTGTATATAAAACGCCGCAATAGAGTTAAAATATAGTGCCGTTTTTAGAAATGCCGTAAAATGGTTGTCTTTAGTGGCGTATCTGTATACAAACGCCATTATTGTGCATACTTTAGTGGCGTTTGTCAATAAAACGTCACAATTTTACAGAATAGGGTTTCCTTCATTCCCCACTTCTTATTCCACCTCATTCATTTCATTTTTTTCTTCTCTCCGCCAAAAGTAATATTTCTGGTTGTTCTTCTCGCCGTCAAAAGTCGTCCTTCTCAAGGGTCGTATAAGAGGCGGAAGCTATCCCCCAAGTAAACGAAGCTCAGTAAGAACCCAAGACCCTATTATTGTATTCTCTCATTTGGGTTGTCTTCCAGTTCCAAAAATAAGTGTTTTTTGCATTTTCAGATTCTGAATAAGTGAAGCGCTATACGCAGCGACAACGATTTTTCATTTTTCTGAGATCCCAAACTCCGATCCTTTAAAGATCTTCACACTTCTCATCAATATGTTGAAAAAGTAAGTGTTTTTTCCTGTGATGAAAATTTCCCTTTTATAGTTGAAATCCTCTTCCTATTTTTTTAGTATATCTGTAATTTTTGCTTCGCATTCCTTGTTCTTGCCGATATTCTGCAAGGAATCAATTGACTAACCCACAAGCATTTTTGCAGATAACTGGTGGAGAACCCATTCTCAAGCTCATAGCTGTTGATTAGTTCAAAGTCCATAAAAGCTATAGATAAAATTGCACTGCATCCAAAGTCTCAAGTTCAGGTATTGTACTAGGTTTGTTCCCATTTCTTTTCAAGTGTGAAGTGTGTACGAAAGTCATGTGGAAGTTGCTTCAATTCTTTGTAAATTTGCTGCTTTGATTGGATTCTTTTGGTTTTTATTTTTTTTTCAAATACTTTTCAAGAATCATTTTGTAGATTAGTAAAACTACTATAAGTTTATGGAATTCTTCTCGATATGTGCTTTCATTACAGTAAAATGGGTTTATTGCGGTATTTTTAGCGGCATTTTTTTAACGTCGCAATTTTATTTAAACGCCACTAAAGACTCGTACTTTAGTGATATTTTTATATAAACCCTATTATATACTCGTATTTTAATGGCGTTTTTATACAAACGCCGTTAAAAACTCGTACTTTAGTGGCGTTTTTATGCCGTAATAGGACATATATAATGCCATTTTTGAAAAAAACGCCATAAGAGATTCATACTGTAATAGCGTTTTTTTAATAAACACCACAATTTATCAATACATTAATGGTGCCGCTAATGACTCATACTTTATTGACGTTTTATACGAACGACGTTATAGACTAGTACATATCCTCTTGGTTTACTCTCTTCTCTGTGAATCAAATATAGGGTTTCAGCTCTTCACCCATCTCCATAAACCCAAATCACAGAAACCAACGCCTTTTCTTTTCAAGTAAACGATGAAGAGAGCAGAATTTGACTCGTTAGTGTCGCTGAGTTAACTTAGACTGGTTCAGTTCTTGATGGGGGTTTTGTTCCTCTACCTTCTGTTCATGAGCTTCAAAATCCCGCTGGTTTCTATACTGACGCATTGCCCAGACCTTTGTTTCTCGAGAGCGAAGAGGATTTCACCGACAAATCGGCACATGCTCGGCCGGACGATGACCCGAAACTCGTCCGCCAAGCAGGAAGCCGGACACCTCCGCGTAGAATGTCGGAGTTCAAGACTGTGTCGGGTCTTCTTTTCAACGAAAGCTCTTTCAACGAAAGCATGCAGAGGATGATCCGAAAATTGCAGTATCGAAAGAAGAGGATGAGTCAGTGATGGTAAAGCAGTTTATGATGGAACTGCCAAGGGTTAAAGACAGTGGAGGGCGAGGATCCTCCTCGCATTCTTCATTTCAATCCGAGATTGAAAGGGGATGTCCTCTGTAGTGATAAGACAGGAACATTGACACTCAACAAGCTCAGTGTTGATAAAAACTTGATTGAGGTGTTTGTAAAGGATGTGGACAAAGAGCACGTTGTCCTGCTTGCCGCAAGGGCCTCTAGAACTGAAAATCAAGATGCCATTGATGCCGCCATTGTTGGAATGCTTGCTGATCCTAAGCAGGTATATCGATTTCTTATATCTCCTGTTTCATTTCTTGATTCTGCTAAAAGTAAGGGGAAATGACTCTTACATGAATATTTATGTTCGATATGATATTCATACAGGCAAGAGCTGGCATGAGAGAGGTCCATTTCTTGCCTTTCAATCCTGTTGACAAAAGAACTGCGTTGACTTACATTGATTCCAATGGAAACTGGCACCTAGCAAGCAAAGGTGATCCGGAACAGGTAACCTTGTTGTCAAGTTTCAGCTGATAATATAGGAAAACTTACGAGGTCTTACGTAACTCTTATTTTGTATCTGTTGGCAGATCTTGGACCTTTGCAATGCAAGAGAAGATCTTAAGAAAAAGGTTCATTCCATCATAGACAAGCTTACCGAGCGTGGGCTTCGGTCATTAGCTGTTGCTAGACAGGTTTTATTTTTATTTTCATAGAACTCATTTTGTTCTAATCACTATTCTGTTATCTTAATACCGAAAAGTTCCCTTACCATTTCTTGTTTGCTATACTTTAACAGCAATTTCCAGAAAAAACAAAAAGAAAGTGCTTGCTCTCCATGGTAATTTGTAGGTTTGTTGCCTCTGTTTGATCCTCCAAGGCATGACAGTGCTGAAACCTTTCACAGAGCTCTTAATCTCGGTGTTTATGTCAAGATGATCACTGGTAATTAAATCTTTTTATGAGTTTATTCATGCACGATTCTGTTAGCATTACCTCATTTGAGGCATTAGCTCAGTAAATGCTTTTGTATTATGTCCAGGTGATCAACTTGCCATTGCTAAGGAAACTAGACGCCGACTTGGAATGGGCACGAACATGTACCCATCTGCTTCTTTGCTGGGTTAAGACAAGGATGCAAACATAGCTGCCCTTCCAGTTGAAGAGTTGATCGAGAAGACAGATGGTTTTGCTGGCGTGTTTCCAGGTAACTGGTTTTCGCATATTGGCCATCCACAAGCAAGGAATTCTTCACCCTTGCCTTCGTTTATTTTCTTAACATCTATTTATGACACTTTTTGTAGAGCACAAATACGAAATTGTGAAAAAGTTGCAGGAGAAGAAGCGCATTTATGAAATGATTGGAGATGGTGTTAATGATGCTCCTACTTTAAGAAAGGCAGATATAAGTATTGTTGTGGTTGATGCTACAGATGCCGCACGAAGTGCTTCGGACATTGTTCTTATGGAACCCGAATTGAGTGTTATTATCAGTGTCGTGTTAACTAGCAAAGCTATTTTCCAAAGGATGAAGAGCTACACTGTAATTTACTCTCTTCTCTTAAACGTGGTCTAAGATTTACATGGTATACTTTGCAATGCATGATTTTGCTTTCTTTGCTTTCTCAGATCTATGTCGTCTCCATCACAATCCGTATCGTGGTAAGTACATAACTAATGAAATTATTTTATTTTATAGGAAACAATTTTTGAAAACGTTAATCTTCATGCATTGTTGATTCATATATGTGAACTTTTATTTCTGTTTTTTTTGTAGTTTGGATTTTTGTTTATTGCTCTCATCTGGAAGTTTGACTTTTCTCCATTCATGGTTTTGATAATTGCTATTCTAAATGATGGTGAGATTTTATTAACTGGAGATTCATGGTTTTTCTTTTGTCTTTGTCCAAGGTCCCAACTATTCAAAAATTGAATTGGACTGGACCTCAAAACTTTAAAAGGATAAATAATGTTTGTCACTCAAATTTTAAATTTAATTTTTTAAAATTAATAATAATAAAAAAAATATCTAAACTATAATTAAAATTTCTAAGAGGTGTGATCATACCCCAACACCCGTTGGTCATCATCTATAGACGGAGATTGATGACAAAGGTATTGTTTCTAAGAGGTTGTCCGCCTCGCATTATGTTCTGTTTCTTTCTTTAAGACAATTATGTTCACTTTAAGAATAAGTTGGTTTTCCTTAGAATTGAACTAGTTTTTACGAGTACATGATATTTAAGATACGGGGAATGGATGTGAGATCACATCCCAAACCACCATTGCTTGAGTTGCTTGAATATGAGAAGGCAAGCATTCGAGTTATGCAGCTTCGGGTTTCCTCAAGAATCGTCGCCATTCGTTGTCGGTAGGGTATTCGTTCGGCATTTTAGCTCTCGTGAACGAAGGCCTGCTAGGGAAGTACCCTGCATACGTGTATTGTCCGAAGTTGACAGCGGCATGCTGACCTGTTGCAACCCAAATTATAGTCATGAGGGTCTCGATTAAGTCTTTCGGGGTTTTAAGAACCGGCCACCATGGTTCATCTTTCTTGTCACCGTGCCCGACGGTTCGGATTTCGGTCCACCATGCTTGAAGGTCTTGATCAGCTTCTACCACGCTCGGGTTTGGATAGTAGTGATTAACATACTCAGTAACCCATTGTTTGAGGGCATCCCAGAGTAAGAGACCATCACTGGCATAAGGGTAGTCTTTGATAGTTAGCCTAAGGCCTTGAGGAACACTTGGATCTTCTTCCGCCATTCCCCTGCAAAATATGAAACAAAAAGTAATAAGAAAACAGAAACCCATGATCAATAATTAGAAAAGAATTAGATAATTAAGAAATCATATATACCTGCTAATCAAATCTGCAGGCAATGATTGCTGATCAAACCGCCAATGTTGGTCGTAAAAGACGGAGCCAACCTCTAGATAATACTTGCCAAGGGTCATGATTTTCTCAATCGGTCCATCAGCAGCGACTAATGATTCTCGGGCCAATGCGTTGATCTCCATCGTATACCGGAGATGAGGATGCAGTAGTCGATGAATTGGATGCATCACACTGAGACGTCGATTGGTTGCAGTGACATAAGGTTCACCACAAGCGTGAGTTCTCAACCTGCAAAGCACAGTTTCAGGTTTCCTATGCTAAAAGAATTATAATCTTTGGAGGAAAACAATCAAGAAATTGAATCAGTGAAACTATAGTAATTACAGTGACTAACAAGCTGGTGGTAGTTTGAATCATGAGCAAGAACTTGTGTTTTGGCAAGTTTCCAAAGCCAATCTCCGGTGGAATGTAAACAAGGCGTATAAACTTCCTTCCATTGTGGTTTGCCGTCCATCGGTGGTCGAGTTAGCTCGATGGCTATAGGCTTCAAAGTCTCGTCAGGGTTAAAGAAAATATGGTTCGTGATCCGTAAAGTGCACGGCCTTTAAGATCTCTAACTCTCTCACGTAGGGTAGGAACAAATCATGATAATCAAGGATGAATAGTCTCTTTTGATCTATCGCCTGCATAAATGGAAATTGAAGAAAAAATAGCATGTTATGCAAATACAATAAAAGCAACGCAGCTGAAAAAAAATGTTATTCAGATTACCTTATGGACAGTTATGACTTCATTGATTTCTCGTTGAATAAGGTCGGTGGTGATTGCGGATTCTGCAGGACCGTAGGTTTCAGGGTCGAGTATGCTCTTCAATGGCCATTCCTGTAACCAACAATGATAAATTAAACAAAAAAACTCTGAATTATACACGCACAAAAAATCATAACAATTACAATCTGTGTCCCCTTCCCACCGTCACAAGTTTTATGCTAAGAGGGTTAAGTCCAGCAAGAGTTTGCCTAGCAAATTCCTCATCCCTCAACCAAAAGAATTTGTCTCCTGCAAAAGCCAAACCACACAAGATTACTCTTGAGTGTTTCATAGGAGGCGGATAACAGAAACCTTAAAATAAGGACCCTAACGTTATGTTGCGATCGAAGTTTTATTCTACTAATTTCTAATTTTTAGAAAAAAAATGTTTGGATTTAAAAAAAAGAAGTACAAGATTTAAAAATAGAAAAAAATATTAACATTTTAACATTTGCTAAAGTTTTATAGATAAATAATATTTAGAAATGTAATTTCAAATTCACATAAATATGAATTGATGAATATTACAAATCATAACTTTTAAGAAGTTATAAATAATGATCGGCGAACAAAGTAAAATGATAGCTAAAGATACAATTTTAATGTATAAAACTAATCTATAATAGTATACTAAGTAGGAATTTTGAGAGTGTTAGGAGATACAAAGCCCTCTTGCTTCTGTTATCATTGATTATGGATATAGTGATGAATGGAGGGTGTGTGGAGTGATTGTCTTTGAAAATTTTAAATTTTTATATATTTTACATTGATAATTCATTTTTTTTATCTTGAAATACATAATTTTATTTATTTAAGATAAGATTTGTGTCTATTCCTATATAAACAATATGTAGTTGTAGAAGAGGTTGAACTGTAGCATGGTAAAACTATAGGCCAAGGTGTACTGTAGTTAAGATCCAAGTCTTAACAATTAATATATATATATACCATAAGCTTATGTGATTAAATGTATATACCATTGATTTTCATTTTTAAAATTTTCAATTAATAAAATAAACTATGAATTCAACGGTCTTTATCTTGAAACAAATAATATATATTTCATAAGCTTATGTCATTGAATGTAATGCTTATGTTTAGTTGCTTATGTAATTAATAAAATAAACATTGAATTTGTTTGTATTATAATTTATAATTTAAACTGTGAAAGTAAATGTAATGCTTATGTTTAGTTGCTTACTTTCTCTATAATATTAACAATTAACATTTGAAATTGATATTTCATAAATACGAAATGGATAAGAGTTTGATGAATTTGTCAATGGTAAGCGACGAATATCGAAATGGAGTCGAAACTTTTCTAAATTTAGATTTTGTGAATGCAAGCCAAGAGAAGATATTTATGAAAATTGATATGACATAACAATGTAGTAAGATTTTATATCTTAATTTATTAATTTATAATATTATAACTTATAACATGTTGTCGTTCAATATATTCATTAATAATAATATTTTCACTAAAATTATTGTTTGTTTATTAAATATATTATGCCTAGGAGAAAATTAATTGATTTGCGGATTGTTCGAGCTTCTCAAGAGGAGGAAAAAACAAATAATGAGGAATCGAGTGGTGTTGGATCTTTGGAAGTTCCGATTACTGTTGAAGAAGCTGTACAAATTGAAGGTAATGTTCGACACTTTCTTTAATTGTTTGTTGATTTTGAAAACTTACATTGAATTATTTCTTATATAGTTGAAAATGGTCGAAGACGCAAGACTAGAGGACGTACAACGTTGAAGGAATTATACCAACTTCCTCATGGGAACCGTGTGAAAGTTTCAAGAAACGATGTCGGTCAACCTAATGGCCTAGAAGCACGTCTTCTATCCGTTTACTTAGGCATGGTTGCACGTAATGCTAATATTTTACTGATCAATTATGAGTCATGGCGTGAAATACCAAATAGTAACAAAAATTAGGCTGTGGATTTTGTTAAGGTAATAATTTCATTATAATAGATACTACATTACAGTTCAATAGTAATTTATATTTACTTTGAACATTTATGTTATTTGTAGGAGAAATTTTCTTTAGAGCTCTCAGACAATTATTTGAAGCAAGTGTTAGGGAAGAAATGGAGAGACCACAAGAGTTCTTTAATAAAGAAATATTTCAAGAATGATCTTAGTCTTGAAGAGAAGCTGCAAATTGTCCCACCTGGAATGCTCATGTATCAATGGGAAGATGCAATCAAGTTTTGGAGTTCAAAGAAAGGACATATATGATGTATTTTTCAAAAATAATATAATGTCATTATAATATTAACTTTATAAGTACAAATTTTAAATTGTAGGACCTAGAGCATGTTGGTGTTGCTAGCAGATAACAACAAAAATTAACTCACACAGCTGGATTGAAGAGCTTTGCTTGTATAACTAATGATGATGTATTATTGATTATTCACATAGTGATTTAGACTTGGTAGCACATAGTAACTAAAATTATTTCTATTATTAATTAATTTTTTGCAAGACTTAATTTTTATTCTACATTGTAGGAAAAGACGTCTGATAGTAAAGTTGAACGAATAAAGATCTTCGACATTACACATACAAAAAAGGATGGCACTCCTATGACTGATGAAGTTGGAGAAATTATGGTACATTTATTAGACACAAGATTTGAATTATGTTATATTTATATCTATAGTCT